ATCCTGCCACCTGTTCACAGCTCAGCTCCGGTGCAGTCACTGGCCATGTGGGAATTGAACCAGTGACCCTGTTGCTGAGAGCTCGCCCTCTTAACCAACTGAGCCACTCTGCCAGCCCTCTTGTTCTGTTTTTTATTTGTACATTCTTTTGTAATACAATACTGTCTTAATTACTGTTGCTTTATTATACAATTTGTTATCTGGTGGACAAGTCCCTTCAGTCTTTTCTTTGTTAAAATTGTCTTGTAGCCTATAAATATTTTTCGTACATGTATGTGAAAAGTGTTAGGATGGCAACCTTGGCAGACATATATGTACCTTATTTTTAAAAATCACTAGCTAGATTTGCTGAGTTTGAGTACACTGAAAATATGAAAAAGATTAACTGAATAAATTTAACACCAAACTACAAGGTTATACATGATTAGTCATAGAGTAGTATTTATTACACCCGAATGTTATTGCATACATTTTTGGGAAAAATATCTAAGGCCTTTGAGTTCCTTAAATTCTAATTGTCTCCTATATTAAAGTATACTCATTATCTTATTTTTTTGTCTGGACAAGAACTGAAAAAGAGAAAAAACTTGAATTCGGAATGAACAATTCTTGCTATATGTATTTCCCATGTATATAAGGAAGGTTCTGTAGCTTTCCAAGAAATACTGACTTGAACTAAATACTGAACTACTAGCAAACTCTTGTGCATATTTGAATGTTTTTAGTCATTGGGAGCCAATGGCATTTCTTTTCTCTGTATCACAAACTGTTATGAATATTTCTTTTTACTATTAACGTTGGACAAGACCTCCTGTTTTGTGACTGACTGGCAGGCAGAAATAACAGGGACAGGAAATGGGAAATGGTTCAGGGACTTGGAATTCCCCAAATGCCTAATTAAGTGGCTTGTTACTTGGAAGTTTTTGGAATGTTTGCCCACTGGAGTTCCCCTGAGAAAAAGCATCTGATTTCATTGACAGAGTATCTTCACAGAACATAAATTAAGAAATTCGCTCCTGCAATACAACTTTTACTGCATGTCACTGCTTTCTTGGCACTAGTGGATGGGGATAGGGATAGGGGGGTGGGGGAGGGAGACAAAATGTAACACCAAGAGTTCTTATTTGCAATTTTCTATCAGTTAACTAAACTATTTAAAACGTCACTGATAAATCGGCTCCTTTGTGGTTCACGTACGATTTAATGTATACACACATATATAAATGTATACTGTTTATTTTAGTCCCATTCAGAAAAAATAGGGAGTGAAGACTGTCTGAAATACCATTCACGTCGCTAGCGATGAGCTTTTGAAATTAAGGACACTTTTTCGTTAGTGCATATGTCTCCAGAACAGAAAAACAAAGTTAAAAAAACAAGTTTAAAAATCAAAGACATACTGGTTGATTAGAAAAGACCTATTTATAATATAATCCCCAAGAGATTATAAAATCAACATTTCAAAGTTAATCTGATGCTGTTCTTACACTTTGCTTTTTTCCATTTCCACCACCAGCTGTGAATATTTATGTTAGGCAGCTGCGCTCCGAGGAAAAACGGTTACAACTGTTTTAAACGGTTACAATTGTTTACTTAGTTGAAGCAAAAACGGTACTAGGTTGAGTCCATCCTGAAATGCAGTCATCTAGGACCACGGGAAGCGTCACACTAGAGGAATGTGGCCAGGAGTGGGATCAAATAACTGAGGTGACGCGAAGAAGAGGCGCAAAACCACCCGCGCACGGGTGTTTCCCCAGGGTTCCCCAAGATTCAAACTCTTCGGCTCACGGTTTGCCACGTTCCCCTCGGGAGAATGTTAGGGACAGAGAGAGAGAAGGAAGGGTCAAAAGTACTCAAACCGCGAGATTTAAAATGGAAAACGCCTCGCTGATTGAAGCCGCCTGGTCCCGTCCCGCGGGCTGACCAACTGCCTGCCTCTCAAAGCGCGGCGGGTCCTTCCTCCGACCGTAGGCTCCGCGGCGCCCTCGAGTGGCGGCGACGCAGCCCCCGGATAGGCGTGATGACGTCACCATGCGTCGGCGGCGTCCCTGCCAGCGCTGGGGGCTTCGGGATAGCTGATCCGGAGCCGGCTGGGCTACATCTTTCGTCCGCGCCGTTGCTGTCGGGTGTGAGGAAGCCGCCTTGCAGCCGCGCCGTTTCCGTGTGAGCTGCGCCTGCTCCGAGGTGAGTGCAGCTACTTCCCGGCCCTAGCGGCGCGAGGCGGGTTGGGGCGCGCGGGCCCGCGGGGCCCACTTCCCTTCCCAGAAGCTGAGGCGGGCCGAGGAAAGACAGGGCCTAGCTAGGGCCCTGCGGCCGGGGGATCGAGGGGCGCAGTGAGCTTCTGCTCTCGCGGAGCTTTTATTTAATTCAGAAGTTCCAACTCCAAGACTCGTAATCGAAAATAATTGTTAAAAATTAACCTGTTTGCATGCCTGCTTGGCCGCTGCCCACTTTTCCGGCCCTTGGACTTGGACCAAGATGTTTTCTCTTTAAGAGTGATTGCAGGGCTTTCAATTTAGCCTCGGTATTCCTTTAATTTGTTGAAACGAAGACAGTTCTGTGGCGGCGAGATCTTGTATTTAACATAGTTTCCACTGCCTTCCGCCACTTTAGTAGCCTATTGTGTGCTGTGAGAAATAACTCCAGGAAATTAATGGGTAAATCCTTGTAGTTGCTCTCCTTTTCCCTTCCAGCCTATCTCCGCATCAGCTACAGTTTGCATCAAGAGGGTAAAATCTACAGGACGGTGCTTGTAGACAAAAAAATTATAATTTAAAGATAGGATGTCAAGTCCTGGTGTAACGAAAGCATTTAGTCACGTGGTTGCATTCCCAAGGCCATTGTGCTACATTTTTGTTTTCGAGGTGCTTTCTGTGGTGGTTTCTTTGGAATTGGAAGGGAATTGTAGAGTTTAAGAATTTATGTTAATGAGTTTCTGATGCATTTTACTGTTACTGGTCAGTTTGCCTCCTCCTGTAGACGCCGTTAAAAAATAATGTTACTAATTACTGTTGTACTGTTGCTGATAGGATGTAGTCCTTCACCAGTATCCCCTTTTGCCTCTAGCTAACAGCCAGAGACTTAGTCTTAATATTAAAGTCACCAGAAAAGGGGAGGAGACCAACGACAAAATATTTTCCTATCAGGAAATCTCCATCTGTTCAAAGTTGTATGTTTCAAATAAAATATATATGTATAAACATATATGTATATGTGTGTAAATATAAATATATTTAGTCCTAAGGGGCGTATATATATTGCATTTATTTTAATTAAAAACTTTTCCAATTAGAATGTTTTTGGGACAAATTGCTGGAATTAAGATGTATTATTGAAAACTTAAGTCATTTTTCGGCTTTTCTTACTATATTCAAGTCTATAAATTCTATTTACCATGAAAATACAGTTTTCTAAAATAGCTTCTTGTTTTTGTTTTTGTTTCAGATTTATAACCCCGAAGAGACTACTTTTTTCCTCTCATTTTTTTCTGCTGCAGTAATAAATCCCATTATGGAGACCTAGAAATTTTATAAAGGCTAGAGTATGAATTCTGTGGCGTGTATTTTGTGTATGAATTACGTTTTTTAAATATGAAGGGTTTTCAGAAAGAAGGCTAGTAGGGTTAATTACTGGTACATTATGCAAAGCAGTAATTTTGTTGGTAATACAATAGTTTATTAGACACTTGTGATAACACTGAAAAGGACAAGCAGTATCTTGATAAATTGATTTATCTTTAAATACAAAATGAATGGTATTGTAGGTGCATAATCCTTAAATGAAAGACAGGTTAATTTTTAAATGCAGTGTAGAAAGTTTCTGCTGTGGAAACGTTATGGTTAACTTTTAGGTTGTTGGAAAAATTATGAAGCATTTTTGCAACAGATGGTGCTAGTTCAGTTTTGGAAGCGCTAGAATCATTCGCATCTATGTTATTGCTATGTTATTTGACAGTTGACATTCTACATTCATTCTAAAAAAAAATTGAGTGATTTGGTTGAGTTTTGGAGATTCTACAACAAGTTGAAGATGGAAGACCATACTGCACATTTTCGCCATATTTTACTGTTTTACTTCCGTAAAGGGAAGAACGCACGTCAAGCTTGTGAAAAGTTGCGTAAAGTTTACGGGCACAGTGCTCTACAAGTACGTCAGTGCCAAAGATGGTTCACGAAATTCCGTGCTGGTGATTTTGATTTCAACAATGCTCCTCGGTCAGGGAGGCCCACCGAGGTTGATGATGATAAAATAAAGGCATTGATAGAGTCAAACCCACGTTACACGACACGAGAGATTGCAGAAACGTTGAACATCCATCATTCAAGCGTTCACGACCACCTGAAGAAGCTGGGATACGTAAGGAAGCTCGATCATTGGGTTCCTCATGACCTCAAAGAAGTTCATTTGACGGCACGTATAAACATCTGTGATATGCTCATTAAGCGTGAGGAAAACGATCCTTTTTTGATGCGACTGATAACTGGTGATGAGAAGTGGATTGTTTACAACAATGTGGTGCGCAAATGGTCTTGGTCCCAACATGATGATTCGCCCCAAACAACATCAAAAGCAGACATTATTCAGAGGAAGGTTATGCTCTCAGTGTGGTGGGATTTTAAAGGTGTCGTGTTTTTCGAGCTCCTGCCAAGGAACCAAACAATCAATTCGAATGTGTACTGTCGGCAATTGGACAGTTTGAACGAATCCATCATTCAGAAACGTCCAGAGCTCATTAATCGTAAAGGTGTTGTGTTCCATCACGACAACGCAAGACTACACACAAGTTTGATCACCCGTCAAAAATTGCTGGAGCTTGGATGGGATGTGTTGCCACACCCACCATACTCACCTGACCTTGCGCCATCAGACTTCCACTTGTTTCGCTCTCTTCAGAATTCCTTGCGTGGTATAACTTTCAATTCAGATGAGGCTGTACATCAGCATCTTGTTCAGTTTTTCGCAAATAAAGACAGGTCCTTCTATGAACGAGGAATTATGAAACTCACTGAAAGATGGCAAAAAGTTATCGAACAAAACGGGCAATATATCATTGATTGATCTTTGTTCTTTATATGAATAAATTACCTTTGAAAAACAAAGAAAAAATACATCATGACTTTTTGACAAGCCTATAGTTAAGTTTATGGAGAAAATCCTTCAACTGATCAAGTATAATAAGGTGACATGCAAAGCTAGGAAGAAAGACAACTAAACGATGCTGCTGGAAATGGACACATATAGACAATAATTTAAAAACATGGAAAAATTAGCAGTTTGTGTATGTTAAATTTATTTGACATCATATGCATACTATAACAGGCATAGGTTCAACAAAGTTTGTGGGTGTTACCTGCCCCCAAAAATTGTTAGCTGAAACTAATATAATCCATTTAAGTAAATACTATGATGATAACCTGTGTTAAATTAGCCTTTAGATAATGTGACCAATGAAGACTTTAATTCTTCTTGTTTACTAGACTAAAGATTTTTTTAAATAATCATATTAAAGTACTTGTAGGGCAAGAAGCCTGCTTATAGTTTTTCCTCTTGTAGCATAATCAATAATTGGCTTGATAGCCAGGCTTTGTAGCTTTTAACCAAAAGCAAACTAAAGGTATAATTTAGATATTCTATAGTTGTTTAGAATTTTGGGAATATAAACCTTGAAAAGGCAGTAGTTTTAACATTTTCATAAGTATGTCAATGTCATTTAGGCCATAGGTTAGTATTACACCAAATAATGAGCAAATAACACTTGAATTACCTGTAAGAGTTACTATAATCCCAAAGAGTACTAAAAAATATCTAGGTAATTTATAAGGGATATTCATTCTACCTGAGTGTAAACTCAGGTGTAAATCTAGTAAAGGTCTGGTGAATTTTACATAAGTAGGAGTCTATCATTTGATAGTTTTTATAGTAAAAATCTAATTTAGTATGAAGAAATGAGAGATTTCATCAAAAAGTAAAATCACTCATGCACAAAACTACCTCCCAATGACTTGTTGCAGGTACCTTGTATCAAAATATTAAGAGTATAATGGAAGATAGCATGATCTTGTCAAATTGGACAATCGGCAACAAATACAAAATGGAATATGACTTTTCATGTGAACTGTGCAGAATGTCTCCATATTCAACTTTCCCCACTGGTGTTCCTGTGATCTCAGAAAGGAGTCTTGCTCGTGCTGGCTTTTATAACACTGGTGTGAATGACAAAGTCAGATGCTTCTGTTGTGGCCTGATGCTGGATAACTGGAAAGAAGGAGACAATCCTATTGAAAAGCATAAAAAGTTGTATCCTAGCTGTAGCTTCATTTCAAATCTGGCTTCTGTTACTAATTTGGAATCTACCTTTGAGAATACTTCTCAGGTGAGAAACAGTTTTACACATCATTATCTCCCACTTTGGAACATAGTGGCTCATTGAGTGGTTCTTCTTCCAACCTTTCACCAAACCCTGTTCTTTCTTGAACAGTTGAAGACTTATCCCCATTGAGGACTAACCCCTACAGTTATGCAATGAGTACTGAAGAAGCCAGATTTCTTACTTACCATATGTGGCCGTTAAGCTTTTTGTCACCATCAGAATTGGCAAGAGCTGGTTTTTATTACATAGGACCTGGAGATAGGGTAGCGTGCTTCGCCTGTGGTGGGACTCTAACTGGGAATCAAAGGACCATGCAATGTCAGAGCACCGGAGACTTTTCCCCAACTGTCCATTTTTGGAAAATTCTCTAGAAACGCTGAGGTTTAGCGTTTCAAATTTAAGCATGCAGACACATGCAGCTCGACTGAGAACATTTATGGGCTGGCCATCTAGTGTTCTAGTTCAGCCTGAGCAGCTTGCAAGTGCTGGTTTCTGTTATGTGGGTAAGAAACTAATACTTAGCTCTACATTTTATCCTGTTTATTTTGATTTACATTTTAGAATGTGTATTCAGTTTAAGCTTCTGCTTTCTAAGGTTGCAACGATGATGTCAAATGCTTCTGTTGTGATGGTGGTTTAAGGTGTTGGGAATCTGGAGATGACCCATGGGTAGAACATGCCAAGTGGTTTCCAAGGTAATTGTTTTTAAAGGTATTCCTACACAAAACTGCTTACAGAAATAGGCATGCTTTTTCATGGTTCAGTTTACATCTCAGTGTAACAAAGCTTCTCTTATACCATTGGGGAATTAGCCCTTGAAAACACCAAATTTGAACTTTATTTTGATGGAAAAGGTGGTAGAATGTTTTGTGCACTTTTCTCCTTTTGGAAGCCATGTATTTAGGATATAGTTTAACTTGACTCGTTTACAATTATGGCCATACATTTCATTTATATGTTTCCCTTTGTGCTGTAAAGAAGACTTAAGGATTACAAAGATACTTAAAATAGAACAAAAAGAATATAAGTTCAAGTTAAGGGAAAAGGAAAACAAGAAGAGACATAAAATAATATAAATGTAAAAATGCATATAATATCTGTTAAGTCTGATTAGAATTATACATTTTTTTTTCTGTATGTACAGTTTTATCTTGTGATATGCCATCTCCTTTTAGTCACTCTGTAACAGTATCTCCTATTTTTAGAAAGAATTTAGAGGCTGTGTTGTTAGTAGAAATAGAATTTGAAATTAATTGTTTTTGTTACTGAATAGCTATGTGAACATGGACAAGTTGTGTAATGTCTGAGTCTTTTTCCTCTTCTGTAAAGGGAAGTGGTTGGACTGATAATTTTTTATTGATTGTGGTAAAATATATATAACAAAATTTACCATTTCAATCATTTTTAAGTATACAGTTCTGTGGCATTAATAAGTACATTCACATTGTTTCTCAGTCATTGCCACCATCCATTTCCAAAACTTTTTTGTTTTCCCAAACGGAATCTTGCACTCATTACACTAACTCACCATTACCCGGTCCCCTCATCCCCTGGCAACCACCATTATACTGTCTATGAATTTGACTACTTTAGGTACTTATAAGTGGAATTACTTAATATACATAATGTTTTGACCTGTGAATGCCTTTCACAGTAATGAGTCTCTTGAACCTCTTCAGGAAATTGAAAAACCCTTTTGTCTTTTTGTATGATTTAAAAACATTACACCAATAAATATTGTTATGGATGAGTACATTGTGAAAAGTTGTGTTTTAAAATTATGTCTTTAATATTCATAATATATCAAGGTCAATTTTGACTTTCTGACTGAAACATGACGTATATTTTGTTTAAATAATTTATGTAGGAAAAAGCATGTTTTATTGTCAGAACTTTAAATGATTTAATTATGTTTGGTTCTATGGGGTTGTGTACATATAATTTGAAATTTAACTAATACTGTATGAAAAAGGCAAAAACAGCTTTCCAATTCCAGCATTTGAATTGCTGCATTTTGTCTTTTATAAAACAAAACAAAATCTTGGTTTATTTCTGTAATTTGTGTTTCACTTTAAATAAGTAAGAGAAAAGGCTTAGGGGTGCTTTTTATAAATAGTTCTGAAAACAAATTTCAATTGTGCATAATCTTTAATATTAGTAAATGGAAAACCAAAATGGATAATCATTATCACTATATTTTAACACCATTCATTTATCAAATATTTGGGTGCCTACTGAATACTATTTTAAATTTTTATCTATTTAGTTTTTAGAGATTTTATTTGCAAATTGGGGGAAGGAACAGAGTTGGGGAATCAGGGAAGGGGAACAGATAAGTTGCTGTCCTTTTGTTCTTCAGTCTAATTGTGGAGGATGTCGCTTCACTGGCCCATGTTGGTATTATCATTGCCCTCTTTTCCTGCTGAGGCAGATCGGTCGCCGGTCATTGGACAGCAGCTCACGTCGGCTGCCGGCCACTCACGATAGCTTTGGAAGCCCACTGCAGCCTACGCCATCACCGGCGACTCACGGCAGCCCAGCTCCAGGTCGAGTGTTTTTCACCATCTGGGTTGTAGAGGGCGCAGCGTCATTGGCCCATGTGGGATCCAAACCCGCGGCCCTGCTGCTCAGAACTTGCGCTCCCAAGCCAACTGTTAACCAACGAGTCTCTCGGCTGGCTCCTGAATACTATTTTAGATGCTGGGGATATATTGGGTTATCGGAAAAGTCATGATGCATTTTTGCAACGAAAAACAGAAAAAATATGTCATGACTTTTCCAACACCCCAGTGTAACAGTGAATAAGACACAAAAATTGCTGTCCTCATGGACTTTATCAAAGGAGGGTACAGTATGGGGTTTTCACAGTTTCTTATATTTCCTGTCTTTAATCATTATGAATATAAATTGATCAGTCTCAGAAGAAAATAAAACTATATGAAAATGAATACACAATGACAACTAGCTGTGTAATTTGGGTGATAAACTTGAGTTTTGAACATGCTTATATAATTTTTACTAATTCTACCCATTCACCAGTTGAAGGACATTTGGGTTGTTTCCAGTTAGGAGAAATAATGAATAAAGCCACTCTAAACATTACTAAACATTTATGGACACATGTTTTCATTTTTCTTGGGTAAATACAAGTGTTATTGGTGGGTTGTATGGGAAGTTTTTCTTTTAACTTTATAAGCAACTGCCAAATTGTCTTCTGACATGGCTGTACCACTTAAAATGTTAAAATCCCACTGGCAATGTTTGAGACCTACAGGTGTTTCACATTTTTAACAACATTCGGTATTATCAATCTATTTTTATTTTAGCCATTCTAATAGATGCTACACAAGCGGTTCTCAACCTGTGGGTCGCGACCCCTTTGGGGGTCGAACGACCCTTTCACAGGGGTCGTGTAAGACCATCAGAAAACAAAAAGATATTTACATTATGACTCATAACAGTAGCAAAATTACAGTTATAGAGTAGCAACGAAAATTTTATGGTTGGGGGTCACCACAACATAAGGAACTGTATTAAGGAGTCGTGGCATTAGGAAGGTTGAGAACCGCTGTGCTACGTAGTGGTATTTCACTGTGATTTCAGTTTGTATTTCCTTAATGATTAATCAGTGTGTGTTATTTATTTACCATCTATACATCTTTGGTGAAGTGTCTGTTGAAATCTTCTACCCATTTTTAAGTTTTCTCTTTTTTTAATTATTAAGTTTTGCAAGTTTGTAATGTCCTCTGGATACAGTCCTTTATCAGATATGTTTTGCAAACTTTCGATCTGTGGCTTTTTTCATTTTCTTAACAGTGACTTTGAGGAGCAGAAGTTTTTAATTTCTTTTTAATTTTATTGGGGAACAGTGTGTTTTTCCAGGACCCATCAGCTCCAAGTCAAGTCATTGTTTTCAGTCTAGTTGTGGAGGGCGCAGTTCACTGGCCCATGTGGGAATCGAACTGGCAACCTTGGTGTTCGGAGCACTGTGGTCTAACCAACTAAACGAACTGGGTGCCCAGAAGTTTTTAATTTTCATGATGTCCATTTATCAATTTTGTCTTTTATGGATTGTACTATACCTAAACTGACAAAAAGATTTCGGCCTATGTGTTCTACGAATCATTAGTTTACATTTATGTGTATGATTCATTTTTAGTTTATTTTTGTATACAGTATGGGCGTAGATCGAGCTTCATTGATTTTTTGCACATGGATATCTAGTTGTGTAGCACCATTTGTTGAAAAACACAAGGAATGAATTGGAAACAGATATGATTTGAACTTCCTGGAACACCTTTGAGAAGCCCTAGTAGTTTGAAAACAGGTTTTTGGGAAACATGGTCACATTATGTATAGATGTGATTCAGTATTTTTTGTAGAGAGGGTTTGTGCTTCAAATTTAATGGAAGAGTGGACACTGGAGAAAAATTAGCAGTAATTATATTGTGAAGATCATGTTTTAGGAATACCAAATTATAGTTTCTGAAACTTGTTATACCTCAAAAGTAAATTATGTAGAACAGCATTTTTCAAGCCTCAGCTTGTGCTCCTTTGTAGGTCTAAACCCTTTTATTGTTACTATATTAATGGAATTAAATAGAAAATATCAGAATGCATCAACACATAGTAGTAAGTAAGAGTCTGTAGTATTTTATGAGAATTTTGTTCCTGTTATGGATGTGATTTAGTGTTTATACTGTGGCATCCTAAGAGTTTGAACATCACTTTTCTAGAATGATCAGGTTACATTGGGTTGTTGGAAAAGTCATGACGTATTTTTTCTATGTTTTTCATTGCAGAAATGCTTCATGACTTTTCCGACAACCCAATATTTTTAGTATATAGCAATTTTTAAAAAGAATTTTTGTTTTATGTTTTAGGTGTCAGTTCTTGATACACATGAAAGGACAGGAGTTTGTTGATGATATTCAAGCTAGATATCCTCATCTTGAACAGGTAAACTTTTATAGTTGACAACATCTAATTCACCTAAATAATACTTACAAAAAATGTTATTAGAAGTGATATTAACATTTGTTTTCTTATTAATTATAGTTATAGGTTTTGTATACATATTAATGATACTTATTAATTTTTATTTTTGTAACTACCTTGTTTGTTTAGGGTTTTTAAGAAAAGATTGTTTTTTTTAAAATCACTGAACATAGTGTATAGGTTGTAGTGGAGTTGGAGCAGGATCTTCAGTGTCCCCTCCATCTTTTCTAGAAAAGCACACAAAAAAATAACTTGTCAGGAATTTGAAACCTTTGAGAGTGATCCAGCTGAAATAAGACTCTCTAAATGGAATGAGAAATCGTTAATACTTTTTTCCACTTTACTGAAACTAGAAATACTTGAATTCTAATTCGGACGTAGTTGAAATTTAAGGACATTTTTATGATGATTAATGTAAAATAAAGTGAAGTGAAGTATTATGTAAATCATCCAGTTTTCAAAAGAGTATGTACATTACTTAAGGGAAACTTATCTTTTATTTTATTTTACTTTATTTTTTTAGCTGAGCCATCCTGCTGGCAGCTCAGCAGCAGCTCAGCTTGGGCCGTGCATCGAACCGCGGTTGCTCAGAGCTCAAACTCTTGAGTGAGCTCTTAACCAACTGAGCCACTCGGCTGGCCCTAAGGGAAACTTATCTTAATGTTTCTTTGTTCAGGTTGTTTGAGATTTCTGATTTTTCCTATTAATTTTTCTCCTGTTTGATAGCTGTTGTCAGCTTCAAGTCACTCCTAGAGATGAAAGTGCTGATACACCAAGTATGTATGAAAATACTTCAAATATGGAATAGCAATTTTTATAAGAATATTAAGAAGGAAAATATGTAAACATGATTTCTGAGGTCTTAGGGAAAAAGGCTGGGTAGTTAACTAATAAATAGCATGTGTCTTCTAAGATTAATGACATTGAGCGTTCTTGGAAATATACTAGTTTTTCTTCTTGAAGTGCTGACCTTCCAACTGGGGAGACAAAACACATGCAAAAGAAAAACAATTATAACAAATAGTTCAAAGAATACCAATGAAAGGTGCAAATAAGAAGCCCTCCAAGGAGGAAAAGTTGTTTGCTATAAGCTACCATGTTTGAAAAGGACCAGTTCACATGTGATTTAAGAATTGGGCTAGATATTAGGTATTTGTCAGGTGTATATAGTATTTTAGTGCAAGGATAGGAAATAGGTCTTCTGGTTAGTACTTAGTTTTAGCCACATCTGGCATTTAGTTAATGTATGTAATGTACGTATGTTACAGTGTCCCAAATAGTGAAGATAATAGTCCACAGTTTTCTTCACTAATTGTATCTAGAAAGAGGTGTTCTTTTCTTGGCACACCCTTTCAGAGAGGGCTACTGGCACATTTGTAGCAGGACCAAAATACGGCGACTAAGATGTATGAGAGTCCTAGAGACCAGGGCTCAGAGGATTGTTGAGGGTTTAGTTGGTAGTATTTGACTTGGGAAAAAAAAGAGTTACATGGGTGTATGATAACTATATCCTGTGTAATAGAGCTGGAAAAAACAAGACAGTAGTGTTGACTGTTCTTCCTTTAAATTTATAACCACAGCTTTCTAGTGGGCTGTCCTGCAGTCCACTGCAGTTCCCTATCAAATCACTCTGCTAAACACCCAAATGACTGCTGTATTTCTCCATAAGTTTCTAACACTCTTTCCTACCTTATTCTCATAACCTTGATTCACTAAGAAAATAAAAAGGATCAAGAAAATTGCTTGATCTTGTCGCCAGAGAAAACACCAGTCTACAATGTACCCATATACTTTGCTTTCTGCTTTTTTGTAAAGCATGCGTTGTCCTTGCTCTTATCTAAGCTCAACTCTTCCACTTGTCCTCTTTCCTCTGAAACTCATCCCCTACTGTCAACTTAAGAACTTTGCTTCAGCAGTAATCTACCCTGTCTCTCACATCATGGATTTTTCAGTCTCGCCTCAATCATTTATTTCAGCATACAAACATATATCTCATTGTCACCAGTCCTAAGAAAACTTCTTTGAACTTGTTTCCAACCAGCTATTGTCATTTCTCTGCTTCCCTTTACAACAAAATGCCTAATATTAATATAACTGGCTAATTTTAAATGCTTTGCGTTTGTGTTCTCTGATTCTTTTGCATGATCAAGTATGTTGTTGAATCTCCCTGTTGAATTTTACAGTTCTGTCATTGTGTTCTTTGGCTGCAGGATTTCTGCTATTTTTTGTTTGTTTGTTGTCTGTTTCTTTATTAACTTCGTAATTTTGTTCATGTGTTGTTTTCCTCATTTTGTTTAGTTGTCTATCTTTGTTCTCTTGAGTTTCATTGAGTTTCGTTAAGATGATTATTTTTAATTCATTGTCAGGCACATCAGTTGTCAGATGAATTATAGCTTTCCATTTTTCCATTTCTTTGGAGTTGGTTACCAGAACTTTATTAGTTTCCTTTAGTGGTGTCATATTTGCCTGATTTGCATGATACATGTAGGCTTGCCTGGATACCTGTGCATGTGAAGGAGTACACACCTTTTCCAGTCTCTACAGACTGGTTTGAGTTGGTAAACTCCTTCTGTAGGGTCCCCTGGCTCATGGGATTAACCTTTTGGAGTTGCAGTCATGCTTGCTTGGAGCTGTTATGAGGTGCTGCTGGGTCTGTGATGGGATCCTAGGTTGGCGGGCTAGTTACCAGGGGCTTGGGCTAGCGTGGATCCTGTTGGTTCCTTGGTAGATGGGACTGCCTTCAGTACATTGTTCAGTAGGATGTTGTTGGGACAAGGGTCAGTTCTCCCAACAGTGTTCACAGTTGGGCTCCAGATAGTGGGCCTATTACCAGATGTGCAGGTGAACGTGGTTCCCTCCAGGTCCCTGGGAGGGCTCCTGTCCAGACACTGAATTTGTCCCTTGATCGGCAGGACTGGCTCTGGACCATTGCTGAGAGGGGCTGGAACTGAGCCCCAGAGCTGTTTCAGGTTCTACAGTCAAGATTGAGGTCTGCAGACCTGACTCTGTAGACGTGTGGATGGCACGTCTCCTGCCAGGTCCCTTGGTGAACTGGAATGCTCTAACTGCGGTAGAGAGGCTGGAGTTGTTTCCGGATTGTTTGAGGGCAGACATGAGTATCTCCCAGCAGGTCCCTGTGCTTCAGTACCGCTGTGGACTGGGGCTGAGAGGGACTGGAGCCGAATAAAGGACTCTATCAGGATCTCTGGGTGCTCAGTTAGTAATGTCATCTGCTGGGTTCCTGTGCCAAGAGAACTGTTTGTGGACTACAGCTGGGATGGTTTGGGGCCCAGTCATGATGTCCTCCCAGAATCTGCACTCTGATGGGTCCTGGACCATGGCTGGACCCAGTTCAATAGGCAACTTCAGTGTCTACAGCTGGGACTGAGATCAGTGTCCCTGTTACCCAAAGCACAGGTGGGCCTGGCTCCTCTCCATTCTCCTAGTGTGTGGGTTGGTGACAGGACCAATTAAATGGGATCATAGCCAAGTCCTGAGGGATCCGAAGCTGTTTCTGGGTCTGTAGCTGGGACCATGGTCAGTGAGTCAGCTGCCAGGGTTTGGACCTGTCTTCCCAAAACAGCTCTCTTTGGTCTTGGACTGCATTGGGATTTCATAATCTTCTAGCTGGATGGATCTCAAAGCCCCCACACAGGCACTTTGTCCATGGATGGATTCTAAATTGTTGATGGGGGTCTAGGAGTGGGAAACATCTTACTCGGCAGTCTTGCTGATGTCGCTGTCCTTTATCCTTCTTAAGACATCTTCTCTTGGCTTCGCAGACACCACATCTTGGTTTTTCCCTACTTCCCTGGTTGATTATGAACAATCTCCTTTGGTGACTACTCCTTTTTCAAACCTCGAAATAATGGAATTCCTCTCAGTGCTCCACCCATGTTTATTTCTCCATTTCCTGAGCTCTAAGTTGGCTTGTCCAACTACCTGTTAAAATTTCTACTTGGCTATAATGAGTATTTCAGAATTAATATGACCAAAGCAAACGTTTTCTCCCTGTTCTTCATCCCTCAAATTTGCTTCTTCTCTGGTCTTCCCCATCTCAGTTAATGGGACTCACTAGCTAAGGTCAAAAGTTGACTAAGGTTAGGACCATTTCTGATTCCTCTCTTTACTTTGTATATTTAATGTATTGGAAATCCTTTCAAGTCGGCTATATAATATATCCCAAATCTTACCACTTTTCTTCATTTCCACCTCTATCAACCTAATGCAAACTGCCACCATTTTCTGTTAAATGAGAGCCTAAGAGGTCTTCCTTATTTCATTTTACTGCATTAAAGTTTATCACCAAGCTGCCACAGTCATTTTTTCTGCCAGAGTTACCTTTTGAAAAAAGAAAACAGGTTTTAACAGTTCCCTGCTTAAAACTCTCCTAGAGTATTCTCGCAAACTTAGAATAGAATATAAAGCTCTCTCAAGGCTCTACATGATATGGGCATCACCCTCCTCTTTGACTTTCTGCTTCTTGAGTATATCAAGCTTTACTTGACTCAAAGTTTTGTACTTGCTGTTCTCTTTGCCTGGAAGACTTCTTTCACATATTCCCATAGCTCACTCTTTTTTATCCAGTATTTGTTCTGGATTGTCTTTTCAGACGGGCTTTCCACATATGTTTTAGCAAGGAAGCACAGTTATGCAATGTAGCCATTGCATATTTATATATTTAGTATAACAGTTTTACAGCAGGTGGCGATAAAGTGTCTTGAAGAATGATGTCTTTGTAATTTCACAGAATGCCATATTGGCTAGCACTGCCCCTGTTATCAGAAAATGCTTCCCTGATTACCCTATCTTTTATAAACCATCTTCCTGCCTCCTTGTTTGTTTTAATCACCTTACACTGCTTTATTTTCTTCAGAGCATGTCACTATCTGAAATCATATTGCTTTGTTTACTTCTTTAACCATTTTTTTCCCACCTTTAGACATCTTTTGTGTGAAGTAG